CTCCAAGGAGGGTGGGTGAGGGCGGGGCTGCGGTGGGTGCCAGCCGCTTCGCAAAAGAAATCAGGCACCGAGGGCACAATCAGAAATGGACTTTTATTAGGAAATCACCCTGCAAGTTCATCATGAAGTGCTGTGGGTGTAACACGTTTCCTGAGGCAGGAGGGTCACAGTATTAGAGCTGTCGGGACAGGGGGACCTGCCGCCACGCGGAGGCGGCTGGTACTACAGTTGGCAGTATTCCTTAGCAGAAGCACGACGCAGTCAGGACAAAACCTCCTGGCGAGAGGACGCGCACGCGCACGCGCCGCCGCCCGGGAACAAGCCGGAGCGCAGGGCGCCATCTGCTGGAGGTGCCGAAACGAAAGGGACCCAGGCAGGAAAAAGAAAACCATCGCGTGTCTCTCTCTCCATTGGGCCAGGGGGGAAAAGCCCCAAATTATCAAAATCCCTCAATTACAAAATACTTTTTTAAAAATTCCATTATTAAAAGAATAAATAACAAAATATATAAAAATAACTTGGTTGCATCAAAATTATAACTAGGAGTTATATGAAGATATTTTCCCGTGTGGCCTATCTCATGTTGAACTGGTATTTTTGCTCCCATTCCATTCATCTCCCTCTCATGGTGCCCTTGGGGGGGAGGAGGGGTGCGCAAAGGGTGGGGAGTGGTCTGATTAAAATAGTATAAAATTAATAAATAAAAATGTGAAATAAATATTGAACGCCAACAAAGGAGTTTGGGAATATACTTACACCGTGACAAAATTAAATAATTTACAGAATAATTAAACTAACTACTTGGTATTTCTTCCAGGAAGAGCAATGCCTCTACTTGTAAAGACTAACTCGGAATTGCAGTCACAATCCATTTGGACGCTATTTACATGTAGGAACATTGTGTTTTTAACACGTTAAATTAAAATTTGCCTCTCTTTTTTTCCCCCCTTCCTTCCTTCATCTGAAGTGGATTCTAAAAAGAAATGGAATCTTTGCAGTTTCCCACTGGGATTTGGCCGGCCCAAGTTGCCTCCCGAGGTGCCAGGCCACAGGCAGAGCGCCTCTGGGAGGCCCATTCCCCCATTTCCTCGTGGGACAGGCTTATTCGGTTCGGAACGCAAAACGGAACCAAATGACACGGTGGCCGGAGCACGAGCACACGCAGCCCAGCACAGGTGCGGGGGGCCTCCAGCCGCTAGCAAGGAGGAATACCGAGGCATGACTCCAGAAGCTTCCCTGAGAACCTGGTAGACTCCGAACCGCTCTGCAGATGTCATTCCAAATGCAAACGCACATCACTTGGGAACACTCAGGGGCCATGGGCCCCAGCGGGCCTCTGGAGCACTGGCCCAGAGACACCCCTTTGGATCGGCCCGCACCCCCCGCAAGCCTGCACCCCCTCGGACAGGCAGAGTGGGGCCCGGGGAGTAGGGCCCCAGCCTGCCGGCCGCACTAGACCTGGATGCCCCTGACGGCCTGTTGGATGCTCTCCAGGAGGGCCTTGCTTTCCGGGTTCCGGTAGCAGTCGCGGTCCGTGTACATGTTGGTCAGGGTGCTCACGTAAGCATCAAAATTCTGCTCACAGATCGGCTCCTGGGCCCAAGAGAGTGGCACCAAGTTCCCTGGGGCCCACAGGGCCTCATGCCCTCCTCGCCCCCTGCCCCCCCATTACCCCCCTCCCATAGAGAAGACTGAGCTGGTCCCAGGCAGCCAGATTGAGGTGCCTGGGTCCCCTGTAGCCATGCCCCCATGGAAACAGCCTTCAGCGTTGCTGGTGGCGGGCTCAGGGTCCCAGGGGCCTACCATGTGGGGAAGGCGGATATCAGCGAGACTCTGGATGAGGGCCTGGCTCAAGCCGGACAGCTCCAGGAGCAGGGCCGAGTTCTGCTCCTCGATGAGCTTGTTCTCCTCCTCAATGGTCCGGAGGTTCTTCTCCATGGAGGAGATCTGCCCAGACAGATGGTGGCTCTCACCCAGGCCCCCCGGTGCCCACCTCCCGCCTAGGCCCCTGCCTCAGGGGCTGCAGACAAGGGAAAGGGGGTCTCTGGCACACAGCCTGACTCTAGGGCAGTGGTTCTCAACCTGTGGGTCCCGACCCCTTTGGGGTTCGCCCAATTCATAACAGTAGTAAAATGACAGTTATGAAGTAGCAATGAAAATAATTTTATGGTTGGGGAGGTCACCACAACATGAGGAACTGTGTTACAGAGTTGTTGCTTTAGGAAAGTTGAGAACCAGTGCTCTAGGGGAACAGAGAGGGGATGGGTGTGAGTGGGACTGGGCCTGGCTCGGACCCCACTGTGAGTCTGTGCTATGTTTCTCATCAGTAAAATTGGAAAAGAGTCCCACCAGGGTTACCTCCAGGGCTCCTCTCACTCAGCAGGACCATATGGCCCAGACAGAAGCACCAGAAGGAAGCCATGAGGACTGGCACACTCCCTTTGTACACGTGAGCCTGACAGCCCAGTTGGAAACAGCAGAAAGGCAACTGTGAATCCGTCTCGGGAGCTTGCCTGTGAGTCAGTCCAGAAGCCACCCTCGGAAGCATCCCGATCCTGAAGAGACTCTTAACCCTCATTGGACTCTTGACCCTGACAGGACCTTGACCCTAAGGGGATCCCTGACCCTAAGAGAATCTACAACTGATGGAACCCGGACCCTGAGAGGACCTTGGCCCTGAGGGGATCCCAGTTTTGATGTTGGCTGCCATGTGGACAAGGGTGGTTGGTCCTTCCCACTGAGTCACTGTGGCCTTGGCTTCCCCATCCCCCACCTCCTAGAAGAGGAGGCCAAGGACCAGGGAGAAGCATGCTACCGGAAGCCAACAGATCCCACTCGCTGCCCGTGCTGATGGCTGCGGGGCCCACCTGGGACTGCAGCTTCACCATGGCGGCCTCCATCTCTGAGTTGGACTCGCTGAGGTCGTGGATCTCCTTGTTCAGTTGTTTGATCTCCTCGTCATTCTCAAGCACTGCAGAGAGAGCCCTCTGCCCTCAGCCTGCATAGGGTGGACGGCCCAGTGCCTGCGGCACCCAGCCTGCTCATTCCCCACGTGCCTGTGGGATGGAGAGCCTTCCCGGGGCAGGGGGCTGGGGGCTGTGCTTGCAGCTGGTCTCCCGGGTGTCAGAGAACACCCTGCCTGCTGAGAGACCCTGCGGAGCCCTGTGGGCCATGGCTAACCCGGGTCTGTCTCCACCACATATCCCAGCCCTCCCTTGGAGTACCCTGGCTTAGCTACCAAGGTCCAGTCTCACACACAGGGTCTTCTACAACTTACCATCACTCGTCTTGAATTTACTGCTAAGAATCTCATCCCCTGAGAGTTTTCCCTTCTTTCCAGCAAGAGTTGCTCTGGGACAGCCAGAGAGGCTGGAAGCAAAAGGTCACAGGTCAAAACAGGTGTGAAGTCACAGGCCAGGACAGGTGAAGTCACAGGTCAGGGAGGGGTAAAGTCACAGGTCAGGGCAGGTGAGGTCACAGGTCAGGGCAAGTGTGAGGCCTCAGATGGACACCTGTTTCTTGTTTGCCCCGGCCCTGCCACCACCACCGCCCCATCCCCCACCAGGAAGTGGGGCAGGACCAGACAGGGCCCAGAGGCATAAAAAAGAACAGAAATGTGCCCTTCCCAGGCCTCCAAGGGACCAGGCACTAGCCTGCACAGCAGAAGGCAGGGCGGGCATTGGGCAGGGTGCGCCAGGAGCCCCTGACCAGGTGGGCACCCTTCAGGGCTGTAGTAGTCACCAACACAGGTGGTCAACACCACCCGACACGAGTCCCCTTGGGCTCCCTCCAGTGGGGCCAGGTCTAAGCCCTCTGCTCTCTCAGGACCCCGTCTAGGGGTGGCACCTGCAGATGGTACCTCCGGTGGGTGAGGAAGCTCCCGTTGGCATGGCCAGAGCCATCACACCCTGGTGTAGGGCAGGTGGGCCCCTCGTTCTTCAGCGACTTCCAAGAGAAGGATGGGCCATTGAGGGACCCCTCTTTCTGCCTGCGGGCAGCCAGCGGGCAGCCAGACGCGCTCCTGTGAGAAGCATACTTGCCACTGATGTGGCCGAGCCCCACGCAGCCGGGAACCGGGCACCTGGCGCAAGAGCCAGAGGTGAGCCTGGGGCCCAGGCTGGCAAAGCCCAGCACCCTCCTGGGCAATGCCCACTCCAAGCCCACGCCTGGAGCAAGGGCATAGGTCCTGCCACCTCACACCCCTGCATAGCAGAGGGGCAGTGTCCGGACAGACCTTGCTGAACCCCCCTACCCCCACCCCACTCCATCAACAGTGAGATGATGGGCAGCTGGGGTGGCTCGTGTCCCCATGCTGGGGTGCAGCTGTCATATGTGCTGGAGTGGACTCGGGGACACCCATAGGTGCTGGTGAGCCCATCACTAGAATGAGTGTCTGACCCAAGCCAGCATGGCATGTCTGAGGGTCCCAGGGCCCCAGGACAGACAGCCCCCACTGGGGGGAGTCTAAGCTCACATGTGGGTCCCAGGTGGGGCAAAGAACAGGAGGGGGCCCTGAGTATCACAGGCGCCCAGGGCAAGGAGAGGGCCAGGCAGTACCCACAGCGACCCCCACAGACCTAGGCCCTGCCCAGCTGTCCTCGCCAGACCCTTCTGTTGCCTGTTCCCTCGATGCCCCTCCCTTTCCTGTCCATTCACCTGAACCCTGAGAAGCCAGCCCTCATGTGCTGGGATGTTCCAGCTTCCCACCTGCAGGGAAGGGGAACCCCCCACTTGTCGGTGCAAAGGCTTATGCCAGAGGTCTCTGAGGGGTCTTTGGGGGCCCACGCTCCCCAGGCAGGTCCGTCCGGTAGAGAACCGGCACCAGAGCCAGCAGCCCCTGAGGGTGAGCCCCATCCTCATCTTGGGAGTTTGCTGCACTGACCATGTGCCAGGCTCCCGGACTGCTGAGGTCAACGGTGGGACCCAAAGCTGGCACACCATGTGCCCACAGCCCCAGGTAGCCCCCTACAGTGGGGGCCCATTTTCAACCTGTCATAGAGCTATGAAAAAAGGGCTTTACCCCCTGACACCCCCCAATGTTGACGAGGCTCCAGCCCACCCACCACAGCCAGCAGATGCCCCAGAGGGGGCTCTCCCACTCTCAGCTCTCAAAACCCACTGCCAGCGTGGGAGTGTGGCTCACAGCCACCCCCAGGACATGATGGGACTACCCCGTGGGTTTCTGAAGCTTTGTAACTCTTTATGAGAAAAAAGAGTCTCATCTTTCTCCTGAGAAGCGGCTGGCGGTTTCAAACTGCTGACCTTGAGGTGAGGAGTCCAAGTCATAACCACTACACGACCAGGGCTCCTTTCTTTTCCACCAGCTCCTCCAGAACCACTGAACAATGAAACGCCTCCCTCCCCAGGGTCTCTCCCCTGGGGGGCCTTCCCTTCTGCACCACCGGACACCCACGGAGGTTTCTGCTATATCAGGTCTGGTTTAAAGGTGCTGGCCAATCTACGAGGGGCCCTGAGGTACAGCTGGTGAGGTGTGAGGCTGCTAACACAATGTGCCATCAGCAGTTCAAATCCACCAGCATCTCCACAGGAGAAAGATGAGGTCACCTGCTCCCGGTGAAACCAAATATAGATCCAATTCCAAGGTGCGGTAGCTGGTCCCAGCCACTTCTGGACACAGTAGACCTTGGCAGCTGAGCCAACAGAGGGGGTCGGAGGGGACCAAGCACCCTTGCACAACACTGGCTGGCTTTTGGCCTTAAGCACAGCTGACCGCGCATTAGAGAAAGGGAAGTCATTTTCCCAGTGAATTTGAAAACCGCTTGTCCTGACTTGAACCGCGAGTTGTCTGCTGGCCAGCAGGCTGTGGGCAGCCAGAGCAGCTGGGTTCCCAGCGAACCCTGAGCTCTCACTAGGAGTGGCCCCGCGGTGGGCGTGCCAGGTGCATCCAGGGCACCACGGGCTATGCTGCAATTTCACACGCACTTGTCATAGCTCTGCAGAAAGAGGCAGGCACACAAAAGATGCAGCAAACCACTGGCCTTCCGAGGGGTTGGGCAGAGCAGGCCCCGCCACTGCAGCCACCTTGCTCTTGCCCCTGGCAGATGTGGGTGCACTCAGACTGCCCCTGGCCCCCAAGCAGGGGCCATCAAGTATCTTATGAGTCTGCCTGAGGAGAGGGCCGGGGTCCGCAGTCTCCACCCCTCCCCAAGGCCTCAGCATTGCCACGTTCAATTTCTGGAGCCCCCGGCTCACTCCCACTGCCTCCGGATGGGAGGTGTGGGCAACTGACGAGCCCCCTCGGTGGCGGTGACAGCAGGGTATGCCAGGCCCCATGTGTCTTTTCGCCTCAGGAACTGGTGGCCAGGTCCCCTCGAGGGTGCGTGTGTGACCTGCATGGCACCCTGAGGCCAGAAGACCCTCTTTCCATCCACCAGTGAGCAGTGGTGTGACTGAGGGGGCCTTGGGGGACTTCCTACAGCACTCACTTCATCAGCTCAGGGTCCTCTTTGTCGTCCTTGGTGGGCGTGGTCTTGAGGCTGCTCTTCTTGGCTCGAGGGCAGCCTGACAGGCTGTGTAAAAAGAGCACTGTGAGCCCCAGTAGCCCTCCTGAGGGCCCCTGCCTCTGATGGTCCTCTCCAGCCCACCCAGGGCAGCCTAGCCAGGGCCTTCGGACACCTGGGGAGGGGGCCTCCCAGTGTCAGCGTCTAGTTCCCATGCCATACTCTGTCTGAGGGAGGCCTCCCTGACCCTTCCCTGACCCCTCCTGGACAAGGAGCACCTTGATGACGGACCCTCACCGCTACCTGACCCAAGTGCTCCCTGAAGGAGATTCCCACCTGACCCCACCTGACCCAAGGCCTCACCTCCGGTGTGAGGCGTAGTTCCCCGTGATGTGGCCGGAGCCATCGCAGCCAGGCGTGGGGCACCTGTGGGGGGTGCAGGGTTGAGGCCAGTGGGTGAAGCTCGGCACTCTGCCCCAGCACTGGGGAGGGTCCCACAGATGCCCGCTGTCCACCAACAGTGTCCAGCAACAGCAATGACACGACAGTTGGACAGTGACCTCAGCACTTTGCCTCCAGGCCAGCCCACCACCTCAGCCCTCCGGTAAGACACATGGACAAGTGCCACCTGGGAGGCCAGGGGAGCAGGTCCAACTAGAGGACAGGGGTCTTCCTACAGCAAAGCGGCGGTTTGGAGTGCCAGCACCCGCCCAGCCCCGTGTCACTGCCCCCAGGGCCATGACACACCAGCTCAAAAGCAAACACCAGATTCTGTTTCTGAGTTGACGACCCTACAGGACAGGGCAGAACTGCTTCTGTGCGTTTCCCAGACTGCAACTGCGTACAGGACTAGAAAGCCCGTCTTTCTCCCACAGAGCTCTGGTGGGTTCACACTACTGATCTTTCGGAACACAGCCAACGTGTGACCACTACACAGCCAGGACTCCTTCTCCAGCACAGTGCTGTTGAGGAAACCATGTCCCTGTTCACCCCAGAGGACAGGTCCACCTTCTGGGGCCTCCGGTGCACTCTCCTGGAGGCCATAGTGGCCTCTTGCTCAGACTGCTCCTCACATAGCTAGCTGGAGAGGGGGTAGACTGCTCAGGGTCACCAGGTGACACTCTTGTCCATAGTGGCCACCACAGGGCTTCATGGCACCAGCACCAACTGGGCAGCTGCCTGCCGGGCCATCTGTGGTGGCCAACTCCAGCCAGGACAGAGCAGTGGCAGCTCCTGGCTCCGGAAAACCTCCTGGACACCAGCTCTATCTGCACCCCTGTGGCCACCGCCCCCCCATCCTGGGCCTGAGCACCCCAGTTGCTACATGCCAAGGGGTTATGCTGCTCTCCCGGGTCTGTGGGTCCCGGAGGCCCAGCCCTGCTGGCCCGTGGTCTTCTTTGATCACAGCTTTGGGGAGAGGGGCCATCTTGGTCCCACCACCTCCTCTCCACACATCTCAGGCCCCCTAGCACCCTCACAGGCCAGTGGGCTTTGGCATCCCAGGAGCACAAGCTCACGCCCTCCTGGGGGCTCTCTGCAGAGCCGCACTCTCAGTGCCTATGCTGGGGATCCGGCTCTCCGAGGTTGTCCTCCACGTGAGCTTGGAGCTGCCGACCTGGCCTTGGATGAGATGGGGACACGCCCTCCCCACAAGGAGCCCTGTTCTTCCCAAGAGCCAGTCTCAGAGAGGAAGCCACCACACCTGTGGTGAAGGACTGATGTCCCCCAGGCGGTCACAGACTCGGGCCACCTGCTCCCACACAGTCTTAGCAGATGGTCCCCATGGCCAGGCTCATGGGCCATCCCCAACCCACAGGAGACCAAGGAGGCCACACTGGGCCCCCGGAGGAGAGACCTTGACAGAGTCAGGGGACAGGGGTAGCACTCAGAGGCCAGGACTGGCTCGTTCTCACAGGGAGAGGGGCTGTGCCTGTCACAGGAGCTGCCGGGATGGGGCCTCTCAGACCTGGTCAGACCTTCCAGGCACTGCTTTCAGTCTAGGGTCCTGGGTTATCCACCCACACCCAAATGTTTGGCGTGCTGGCCCCCGATCAGAAAATTGGTCAGAAGAGAAAGTCGGAGAATATGGGAGAACAGGAACCCGCAGAAAAGGGATGGGGGTGGGGGTGGACCAGGCACCCTGTCCCTCCCCACGCCACCCCCCCTCCCGGCATCCAGTGTGTCCAGTCCTGTTTCCAAAGTAGCTCAGGTCCTGAAAGGCTGGCCCTCAGAGGCAGCGTCCCTCAGTTCCCGCCCCCCATTGCAGCTGGTCAGAGCCACCAGAGCTGGAACCACTGCCCTGCCCCCCCCACGCCCACCCCCTGCCACGGAGACTGTGTTGACATGGGCAAAAACAGCCCTTAATTCCAGCCCCAAGGACGCTGACACCTGGGAAACCTCTGGTGAACGGAGAGCCAGGCCAAGGCTGCAGCCAGGGATAGCAAAGCACACAGGGACAGAGGCCCACGGGCGGGAGGGGCAGGCGGCTGTCAGAGACTGTGGGGATGGACAGGTAGCAGGAGCAGGGATAGAAAGGGGCCTGGATGCAGAGTCAGGGGTGCAGAGCAGAGAGGCAGAGCAGAGCTGCAGAACAGGGGTGCAGAGCAGGGAAGCAGAGCAGAGACACAGCAGGGGTGCAAAGCAGAGACGCAGAGCAGGGGTGCAGAGACATAGAGCAGGGGTGCAG